CAAATATGAAATGTGTTAAAACATAGCATGATGGGAGACGAATTTTTTGCTGATTGTATGACCGTACGGGGATCTTGTTTGAAAAATTGACTTGGAATATATTATCGATGAATTCGAGTCTTTAAAGACTTGTCGAGCACAACTTAGATATTTTGTAATATATCTTTGAATTCAAAAATTTATCTAAATTATGTTATAAAAAAAAAAAATTGCTTAAGAAATTCTGTGATTAAATTTATGTTTATTTTTAGCCCACTCTCTTGACAATTCCTGAATCCGCCCTTATTATTAAATATATTTTTATGAATTATTTTTTTCAATTAAATAGTCGCCACACCTGTGTTCTAACTTCTTGTTAAACAATGTTGAATTGAACCTCCATTTTTTTTTTTTATGACCCAGAACTCCCTGAGGCATGACCCTTCGGACCCACCCCCAAGACACCAGGGAATACAGTAGTCGGCCCCACAACTACAACATTAGATTAGTCGAGGGTGATAAGGGAGACGACAAGGTTCGATCACTGGCCTCCCGTGTGGTAATTCCAAGCCTTACCAATCTGTCCAAGCCCCCGGGGCTAATCATCCTTTACCATGATATTACCTTTTGAATTTTTTTTTTTTTTTTTTTTTTTTATAATTATCTTTTATCTTGATATTGCCTTTTGATTTTTGTGGGTGGTCGTGTCAAGATTTTTGTGGGTATTATATATCTTTATGAATTATTTTTTTCAGTTAAATAGTCGTATCGGTGGCTTATAATTGTCTTTTACCATGATATTACCTTTTGATATTTTTATAAATATCTTTTATTTTGATTTTGCCTTTTGATTTTTGTGGGGGGACGTGTCAAGATTTTTGAAGTTCGAATCTTTTATTTTATGAATGAGAGATTCCAAGGCCGAACCTTTAATCTTTTAATCATTGACAACTGTGGTCCGTGAAAAATTTAATATTAAATAAATAAATAAGTGTGGACCACGAGGAATCACAAAAAAAAAAATTGACAAAACCACAATGAAACCAACCCCACAAACCCAATACTCATCCATCCCCCAAAAAAAAAATGTTACTTTAGAAATTCGCGACTCTTGCTAGTTAAACCGACACGTTTTTTAAAACATAACAATATTTTTGGGACGAAAATAATACTAAACTAGGTCAAAGTAATGAGCTGACCACCACCCACCAGTAACGCAAGTTGAGTCACACAACATAAATGGTCCGCTGTTAGCATCATAAATAATAATATTTCTCTTACCTTCTTTAACTTTGGTTCCTTTATAAGGACACTATCCAATTCCAAAGTTTTTTTTTCTGTTTTTTTTTGGGATAGATTATCCAATTCAAAGTCATCGGTATAAATTGAAGTAAAGAATAGAAGAATCATTTAAACGAGAATGTGATTTATTATTATTATTTTTTAAATTCATGAACTAACTTGTAGTACATAGAATTAAGATTTATTACACACCCTTTGATTATAGAGACAAACTTCTGAGGTGAAAGGGTAAAACTAAGAACATGGAAAGGAAATGGACTTAAACTAAATGGACAGAAACATAAACTCAAATAAAGAAAAATAAGAGAGGGTTTTGAGTGTGGTCAAATCAAATGCCCAATTTCAGTGCAAACAACTTTATTTCCAATCTTACCTGCAAGAAAATTGTACAAATTATAATAAAAAATAAAACAAAGTATCATTGAAGGGAAGCAAAACAACCAACCTTTTAGATAAGTTTCTAGTTTCACAATTTATTTTGTACGAAATGACACCGGTATACGACACTTGCAAAGGTTTCCTACGAAGGAGAAATAACACCGACACCAACAGCCAAGTCTCTAAGATTGACACGGATGTCGATGTCATCTCTCCTGCGTAGCCAACCTTGCCAATGTTTATCTGTCTCTTCTTCTTCTTCATCGATAGATATAGCAATATATGCACTCATCCTTATATAATGGAAGTGGATTATTTATGATTGGGGGTCCAAATTCTAAATGCTGTTCTGATGGGCCCTTCTTAAAAAACATTATATCAAACAATTGATTGAATGTAGGTAAAATATGTGGTGGGGCTTTCATCTCTCTTGGATGGATCACTTTCACAGACCCATTCCACATTTGTTGTCGTCACTGCCCTTACGTCACCATACTCTAATAAAAAAATTTGTATTGTAATCATCGCATACCATTATTGTTCTTACTATTCATCAAACAAACTTACCGTACTCATAATATATTTGGAGGACCAATTGGACGGCTTAGATTTTAAATAAAAAAAATTTAATTTAAATTTAAACTTAATTTTCTTCAACAATCTCAAATTCAAAATAGTACTACTTCTAAACTCAATATGAATTCAAATATGTAGATATTTATTTATTTTTTTACAAAACTCCAAATGTTAACTTTATATTTAACTCTCCATCAAAAGAAAGGTAAAGAGTTAGGAATCACGGCATTTGTGGGTAGATGTGTCAATATTTACCTAATTAAAGAAATGGTGAATTACATTAAGCTTTTTTGAATTATGGGCAAATTATATATTTATAAATCATGCAACATTTATTATTAGTTTCATCCCCTAAACCCAGTTTGTCTACGGCTAGAGGGCGACTTTGAGTATGAAAAGTCAATAATGTCTTTATATTATAATATATTATATATTACAAATATTTGTTAATATGAAAAGTTCATGTAACCCGTGTGTAAAGCTTTAAGAAAGGTCAATATAATTTACCCTATTTTCTTTTTATACAAGGGTATGGCAAATTTATCATTTTATAAGATTTGGTTAAGTGTCATTGAGCATACGCGCTATAACTTAAAAAAAGTCAAAATAATAAACGTCAAACAATTTGTTCAAATCTCACTAGAGATCAATATAAAATAAAAAACACACACCGTTCACATCTAACTTAGTATGTTCGACTGTGTATGTGTATTATGGTTAATAAAAACATTTTGATGGTAATTTTTGGATTGGCGTTAGTGGGGGAGGCCCGGGAGGGTGTGTCAACTTTGAAATTAAACCACCTTTCAATCCTTGATATGCTTTTAGTATCGTTTTTTGACCTTAATTCTATTGAACTTTCACAAGATCGAATTTTTTAGGCACGTCAGCCAAATTTTATTAGGGCATGCGGTATTCTTTGAAATTGAATCAACTTTCAATCTTTGATATGCTTTTAGTATCACTGTTTGCCCGTAATTATAGATAAAAACTTAAAGATAATACTTAACTATTTATCGGTGAGTAGTTTCCCCCTACTCACTTCTTGTGTGTTTCAATAATAATTTACCACATCCATTTTAATAAAAAAATAATTCACGTCCTCCTGTATTTTCTCGGATCAACCATTGAATAAACGTGGGTTATTTTTTTTATTAAAACTGATGTGGTAAATTGTTATTGAAACACATAAAAGTGAGTAGGGTAAAGTTATTCATCAGTGAGTAGCTAAACATTATCCAAAACTTAATTGAGTTGATTGTAGTGATGACATGGTAACGATGATATTATCAATTTATTAAATACGGTCATGTAATGATATAATCTACTAAAATAAAAGTAGCAATTCGTATTTGCAGGTCATAATCGTGTCGTGTCAACATTAAAGTATTCTACTAAATAACTCAACCCAAACACGATCTGTTTAATATTTGTGTTATGAACTTTCAATACTAACCTCACCTATTTATTAAACGGGTTACACGTGTAATCCGTTTAATAAACTATTTATTAAAATAAAAAATTATATTATTTAAATTATTGATAATACTCAATCAAATAATAAATATAAGAAAAATATAAATTTCAATCCACCCAAATTATTAAATACTCTGTAGGTTACAAAAACATAAATTATAAACCACAACTTTAGATAATTATTTTAAAACTTAAATATAAATTTATTTATAATATTTATAGTTAAATGGATTAAACCATTTCGATTCAAACATAATACTATTAACTAATCGAACTAGTATAGACCCGTTTACCGATTCAAACTCGTCTAATTCTTGCCATGGTAGAGTCGTAACCAACTTTGCTACCCCTAACTAAAGTAAAGCATTTTTTCTCCATAATGTTCATGGTCCCATGCACTTTGTTTCTTTGCCCAATGTCTCATTTGCTAGACGGATATTGAGGGCCCATTTCAATATATATAGCCACGTGGCTTTATTTGAGCCAATAGTTTTTGGATCTCATCAATTCTATACAGTCGGAGTACAGTACTAGTACAGTCATTGAAGTGGTGCAGTCATGTGAAACATAAATGGTGTACACCACAAATACAACGATTTGAGACCGTCGCCTTGTCACTCTCATCAATTTAATTTTACTATTATTTTTTTTAATTTTACGATTGAAAGTATCGGATCATCAAAATTTAAATTTTAAATTTTAATTTATTCTCGTAAGTTATATTCTTATTATATTATTAAACAAACTTAATTAATATTTTAAATAAATATTAATTTTATCTATAATTAAGTAATGAATTGAAATATTAAATTAATAACTAATAAGTTTGGAGTAAAATCACATTCGGATAGACTTGCTTATACTTCAATACAAATATTTTAAATAGGGTAGATTAAATTTTTCTACCTATAATCAACTCAAATAACAAGAAGAGTTTCATAAGCCCGTCTTAGGACGAGATAGACTGTGTTTAAATTTGAGTTGGTTCTTCCAAATAACAAAAATGAAATTTATAAAGTAATTACTACAGTAACAATTTAATACGTTGAAAAAGACGAGGTTGAGAACTGTTAAAAGTTGAAACACAGCACGTTAATGGGCTCACCAACTAGATATATTCATGGCCCATCTGAGAAATAGGTCTGGGCTTAACAGCCAGACAACCCACTCTTTTGCAACGCATTATTGGGCCAATCTACGTGGCCCATCTAGAAATAGGTTTGGGCTTAGAAGCCAGAGAAACCACTCGCGTGCAACGCCTTATTGGGCTCAGTACCACTTTGGAGATGTCGGAGAGGAAAACAATTCTTTCGCCGGTCGTCTCCCTGGCTCCACTTTATCTGCCTTCCTCTCTCCGTTCAGCTGCTCTTTTGATTTTCTAGAGAGAGAAACTAGAGAGAGAGAGAGAAAGAAAGCGAAGGTGGGGGTCTTGGTTTCAGAGATCTACAGGGCTTAACCCCTAACGGTACAAACTCTCTTTCTTCCTTCTGCCCTAGATACTGCAAAAGCAACTATTTAGATTGTCGTTCGTTTCTTTTCTATTGGAATCCACAACGCCTTAAAAGAAAAAAAGTCTGATATTCGAACGCGAACTTTTGATTGGAAGTGTCCTGTTTTAGTTCGATAGTCTCTTTCTTCTCTTCCAATTAGGTTTTAATCGAATATGCATATACGTGTATACTATATATATTGATGAATGTGTATAAACTGCTTCAGAAATTCAGTTTATCGATTCCTAACTTCAGATGAAATTCAGTTTATCGATTCCTTACTTCAGATTCATAAAATCTTATGAATCCGCTGGTGTAAAATGGGTTGTTTTATTTTTGATTAACTTGATATTCCTTGGATGTATTTGATTGAAATTGGGGTTTGATGAGTATGCTGTTAGTGCGTAGAGATCGTTCGCAGTTCAATAGAAGCTCTATAAATCAACTTTTCTGTATAAGGCCATCTCACATTTATCTTCCTGACTCGAAAACAGTCAGTAACTGTTCACATTTCACCTCTCTGCCTGCTTTCTCAAATTTTTCTTGTCATTCTGATCTCATAAGCAATACATTGAATTCCATACATCTTTTAACTCGGCCCCGAATCGCCACAAGTGCCACCAAAACGTTTTCAAATGCATTTCTATGCAGATACATGCTTGTTTCGTTCTATTCTTGGAACCCAAATAGACCCCCACCAAGATCCTTGGGAAGGACTTTCCGGAGAAGATCAAAAGCTGCCGCCAAACCTTCTCTGGATGATGCCCAATTTCAGCGGGCTCTATCCCAACTCCCACCAAGATTTATTCCCGAAGAACTATGCAATGTCATAACTCTTGAAGAAGATCCTCTAGTGTGTTTGGAGCTATTTAATTGGGCGTCGCAACAGCCCAGGTTCAAGCATGATGTCTCCACGTATCACATCACTATAAAAAAGCTTGGGGCTGCAAAATTGTACGAGGAAATGGATGCTGTTGTTAACCAAGTACTTTCTGTTCCTTTTATTGGTTCAGAGGCTCTATTCAACACCATGATCTACTTCTTTACAGAAGCTCGAAAACTGACAAGAGCAGTCAATATTTATAAACACATGAGGAATAGCAAGAAATTGGACTGTAGGCCTTCAATTAGGACATGTAATATTCTATTCGCTGCTCTTCTAAGTAGGGGAAGCAATTCCTATGTAAACCACATGTATATGGAGACTATTAGATGTCTCTTCAAGCAAATGGTGAATGATGGGATCGACCCAGATATTTTTTCATTGAATTCTATGATAAAAGGGTATGTCCTGTCGCTACACGTCAATGATGCCCTCAGAATATTCCATCAGATGGATGTCGTCTATAACTGTCAGCCTAATTCATTTTCCTATGATTATTTGATCCATGGATTATGTGTTCAAGGCCGAACAAACAATGCTAGAGAATTGTGTGCTGAAATGAAGAGAAAAGGGTTTGTCCCAAGCTGTAAAACATACAACTCCCTTGTGAATGCTTTTGCTCTTGGTGGAGAGATTGATGAGGCAGTCAGTTTTCTGTGGGAGATGTCTGAAAAGCACCGGTCTGCTGATTTCATTACATACAGGACAGTCCTTGATGAAATCTGTCGGAGACGCAGGGTTGAAGATGCCATGAGCTTGTTGAAGGAGTTGCAAGAGAATGACTTTGTGGATGGACATATTTTTAGGAAGCTCCTCTACGAACTTGAAGACAAATTGGGAACTTCAAATGACAGAAATTGTTTCAGGTAAAACCGTAAAAGTCACTGGAAGTTCTTTTGATTGCAAATGTGGGGCATATGATTCATGTTCTATGGATACGGAGGTGCTTGTACATTCTTTAATATTGTTTTTGAGTGCTATGCCTGGATCCAGGTTGGTGAGTGAGGTGATATTGTATTTAGTTGGCACTTATTCCGTGGTATGTCAATAACACATGCCTTGATGTTGGAACTAAGCATCTTTGTTTTTGAAATGTTTTCATTCTCATATAAGTAATAATCTCACGGAAAATCTTATACGATCAAATAGAATCTGATCTTAAAAGGCTTTTTTCATGATTTGTTTCTGTTATTAATTATCTGCATGATTTTAATTGGTACATTAGCTAGCCTGCCATATTTCTTAACACTATTGAAGTTTATGGTAGGATTGGGGTCATTGCTTGGTGCAATGGTAGAACCACTTTCTCCTAGCACGTCGTGTAGTAGGTGGGATTGGCACTGTGCAATAATATCAACTTGGTTAGTCTACTGATTATAGGAGTTCTATTTTCATTTTAACGTTCATTGCAAATAAAGCTGTTTTAGCGTTAGGAATATGTCTCATAGTTGCAGATATATTTCTAGAGTTGAAAATGGTAGTCTTGCTCTTTTAGAAAATTATTTCTCCAGTTTGTAGCTATAAGTTTTGCTTAACTGAATGAGTCTGAATCTTGAGCTTATAAGATCAGTTCCTGTTGCAAACAAAAACAAAATTCGAATTTGTATTTTTATCCTCATGGTTTCAGTCAAGTCAATGTAAGCAAATGAGATCTAGGGAGACGAAATATGAAATATTTGATTTGTAAGGAGAAGACATTCTTTTAGGCCTCGTGTTTGAGTACTTGTTTAATATCTACTGGGCGAGAGTTTGTCTTTCCACTTTCTGATTCGTACGACGATGCAGGTTTCTCAGGAACCATATTGTCTGTTGGGTCAGGGGGGGTTTCCCTTTGTTCGTAGTAGGAACCCTGCCCCCTTTTACCATATCATCGGGGCATAGATGTGGCACCTTTTGCCAACTTCTTCAACACACCTAAGTATTTTTGCAATTAAATGTTTGAAGGAACACACTATTTTTTACTTAAATATTCTCAAAATTCATGTTTATATGGATCTGGTAAAGATTTTACGCTGGTTTTTTCCCAAGAGTTATGATGACATATCAATAATACAATAACGGTAGTATGATTATTGTTATATTGGACAGTGCTGGTTTAAATTCATTTAATTGGTATCTGCATCAGTGGTTGTACATGTGCATCTAATGCTTACCACAATGCATCTAATGCAAATATTCGAATCAAAAACTCAAAAGATCCCAATCCTACCATAAATGATATTGGTAAGCACTAATAATATTCCTGAATTTTTTTTGTAAGTATAGCTTAGTGCAGAATGTTAAAACATGTTTCCTCATTGTTCAATGAAAGGTTGAATAATGCTCTTGCTGAATACTATATTTTGATACACAAATTCTCAACTAACAAAAAAAAAAAAAAAAATATTACATTACAATTTCTCCCCCACTAGCTGAATTCTGTTTTAAGTAGCATTTGAATGTTCAATCGAACCAATCACAAGGAACATCCTCAAAAAATCTGCTCTGGCTTCCTAATCAATGATTGACAGAAAATGGCCATTTCTGCTTCATCTTCCTGCTTTTGTTAATGGCTGATGATCCTTCTGCAACTCTACAAGTATCAAAACTGCACAAATATCGTTTTGAATTCAAACCAAGTTATTCATAAACAAATCCTCTAAATATTGTATACAATTATTACTTGTCAAGGAAATTAGAGAAGGAAACCATAACCAATTCTCAAGGTTCTTTTATACGGTATCTTAAACGACTTGTAGAAGATGTACAAAATGAAACATATGGCACCTTAAATTTACCTGACAGGCAGTCACAAATCTTTTTCACTGTCCAGCTGTGCTTTTTCTGCTGCCTTCTCTGCTTCTTCCAAAACAAATGTTTTGAGAGACTCTACGTCCCTGGGCCCTAAAAGTATGATATTGAAAGTGGCAAAATCAAAGTTAGATCCAGACGTAGTAGAAATTCCACAAATTTAGTGGCATACATTACATTATATAATAAATAACATTATTTCACTTAAGTGCCTCCCGCACAAAAAGGAAGGTTGAGAAATTCAATAACCAAACAATGTGCCTGATAGTGGATAAATGCCCTTGTTTATCAGTTCTAAAGGAATAAGAATCGTGTAAAGTAAAGATGACAATTACAGAAAATCATTTACACTTTTTTCATTTTCTGCTGCTTGTACTAAGTGTGGAAAATAAGCGTTAAGTGCAGCAATTCGCACAAGAAGCTATGGAACATCACCGGCTGGTTGAAATTTAAATCAAATAATGACCATCCTCAAACCATCGCCATTATCACTGAAGTAGACATCACAACCACCAATATTGCCTCCAACACCAAGATTGGCTAGATTCTGCATTGTCATCGCTCATCATTAAGGTGATCTTCTGATCATTATCGCCATCTCATAACAACACCACCACCATAATAGCTTATACTCGTATTAGCATCCTTTTTATCACCAGAATAGCATAAACTCTACCAGTGCCATGGAATTACTGCTAACATAAGATCAACACCAAATTTGAAATTACCAATAATAGTCATCATTACAACTGTACCATCTTATCAGCATTGTCATTGTATCAATAATCAATCTCCAGTGATCATCAAACCACATTAATCATACTCTAAGAAGCACGAATACGGACACGATACGACACGGATACGCCGACACGTCAAATTCTAAGAAAGTAGGACACGGACACGGCGTGGACACGGCTAATACAAATATAAATTTTCATTTATATATCTATTGAATGAGGAAATTATAGAACTTTAATTAATTTATAAATTTCTATACTAAAGTTATATAAGTTGGAAGATGATGCTATTTGAATATAAAAAAGACTATGTTATAGTAATATATGATTTTACTATCCTCATTATAGGTATGTTTTTGTTCCTTAGATCTTGATCACTTTCATGTATGTTTATAATGTCGTTTTGTGTTTGTTTTATATAAGACAAAGAGTGTAGGGTGTGTTAATTGGGTGTCCGAGATGTGTCGGCCAAGTGTTTGAAATAAATAAAAAAATTATTATTTTAAAATAATGGTCACGGCCATGAAGTGTCGGACACGTATCTAGGAGTGTCCACGGAGTGTTAGTGTCAAACACGGTGTTGGACACGGCACCTCATAGAAGTGTCCGTACTTCTTAGATCATACTTTACTCTTTTCATGTCTAATAATAGTTAAACGATGATCATCACTGCCATACTGTGGTCCTCACGTCAATCAATATAAAGTTGCTATGGAAAAGAGCAAATAGTTGCAAGAAACAAGCATATTTCATTAGTTTTCGGAGAATAGTTGGGATGCAAATAAACAAGGTTTACTTCCTCCCACGTTTATGGTATCTTTTCTTTGAAAGGAACAAAGAAAGTTTTGAAAGACGAAAGTCAAAAAATAAAAAATAAATATCATTGCAAGAAAACAAAAGTCTACAAAAAGCAAATTCCTAAATTCACTCTTATACCATGTGCCTAACAAAATGATTTTGTATGGGACAACTTGACTAAGTTTGATACTGAACCAACAAGCATCACTACAACATAATGTGCACAAAATTGGGTAATCCACCCCGAGAGAGAGACTAGACTACAGATCAAAGTGTACACTTCATAACAACCGGGACAAGAGCCACTACGAAGGGACCACCTTTATCAACAAATTCAATGAGAACCTTGCTCCTTTGCACTCAGAATTATGGAAAACACAGAATAAATTGATAACCTGCTCTACTCCAATTCTTTAGCTAGATGTTTTAATTATATGATAAGGACGTATTAATTTACTGTCCTACATTCTACTATCTAAAAATTCTATGCATCTATCAGTGTGTATTATTCTTTCTTGCTGCATAATTCTCTCCTCAATGTCATCAGAGTTTCCTACTGGATCTCTAACTAGTAAAATAGCAGGATAATGGTTGTATTCCCCCATCTTGTCATAAAGTAATTACACAGCAGACTCTATATGAAAACCTGAACATTTCAATGTGCCTACCTCTTAAGGCATTCCAATAAGCGAACCATCTGGTTTCCAATTTTGTCATGTGTTAGTGTTCCTTTAGCAAAAGGTTAGATGAATTTATCGAGGGTTTGGTCTCCCACTGTTCAAACTAGTAAATAGAGAACAATATATATTTAGCCAGGAAGCACGAGCATAATTATTAGACCTGGATTGAACATCAACACATTCAAGGGGCTGGTACGCTGGCGTATTCATCCAGCCACCCAGTTACTAAATCAAACCTAAGATTATCATATCTGGACCTATGACCTTCACATTCTATGCTCATACATATATACAATTATAAATGCATTTTTATATAAATATATACATGTGTGCATGTTCTAATGTATGACAAGCTTCTTCAATGTTTTTTCTTTTAGTGGCAAGTAGAAACAATACACAGTACTTCAATAGAATTTCCAATCCGGACCCACTCACACGACCACAACCCATTAAAACCACAGCTCCTCATCATTTAACATTAACAAGTAGAAGTGAGCCATCCACAAAGGTTTACTTTGTTGAGCCTTGGTGGTTGGTTACTCAAATCTTTGCAACTCCTCCTACTCTTTATTCCTCAAACATCAAGGTATAGAGGAATACTCTTAACCTGCGGGGAATCTAAGACCCCTACAAATCAATCTGGCCGAATAAAAGCAAATCTGACAGCATTAAAAGGTGCAAGAAGACCAGGTCAACATTATCTGTGTTCAATTGGCTAGTCATGTCCAATTATAAAACAATGCATAAAAGCAAATATATGAAAGCACACCTAGTTCAACTATTAGCAAAGGACCATGTTAAAACAAGAAAAGATAACTTTGTCAATTGTACCTGAATTACGAAGTATAGAGTAAGATATTCAAATCAAAAAAAAGTTTTGAAGACATTAGTTATAGACACGTTGATTGGAAAAGGTCTTTTATTGATCACCATAGGGTCTTTCCCGGGATTGTATTAAATAAACAAACATAAATAAACCAGCTTGCAGACAAAGGAAGTATAAACCTTACCTTGATATTTAGTAACTTCTTCTCCATTATAAAAGAGCTTGAATGTAGGATATGAATGAATATCAACTTTGGAACAAACTGGTTTACTTGTAGCACAATCAACCTGTCCAATCTCTATCTCATCCTCCCCTTCCATTGCCATCCCTAGGTCTTCCCACAATGACCCCAGGTTCTTGCTGAAATTTGTTTCATTGATAAGTGAGAAAACAAATTTAAAACAGTATTAGGATGTAGTATATTATTGGGAAAAAAAAACTCTAGCACATTCATATATCTGAAGAAAAAAGGGAATTATTACCAATGCTTGCACCATGGAACACAAAATTTCACAAACCATGCAGTATCTTTCTCGTTCACCTAACCAGGAACACAGACACATGTACGAAGAATCAGTGTGTTCTTAATAAATATTAAAATAATGAACAAGGGCAAAACATTTGTACATGAGCATCCTACTTCAAAAACTGAGTCACAAATAATTCTGCACATTTTATCTATAACAATGGTTGTAATGAAAATCAATTCATATTAACAATACATGTTTTATTTAGATAAAACCTCCATTGCATGTCGACTTTCTTCAACATCCATTCCAGTTTAGTTTTTTTTTTTAAACAATAAACTTTCTGCAAATGAATTTTCAAACCATGTGGAACAATCCATGTTGTTCCGCCACAATTATTCAGCTAGATAATTATTTGCATATTGACCTTTTCATTTACCCATTTGATCAATCGTCTGAGCCTCTTAACCACAGAGCTAAAAGTTTATCCGAAAGGTTTTGTACATTACTGCCAGTAAAACTGTAAAACACTACACAAGTCTTGGAGATCAACAAGTCTTGAGATCTCCAATTTTAGATCACATGTATAATTCCTCACAGCACAATGAAACAAACTGCCCGACACAGCTGTCCTAACAGAATCCTAAAAAAATGAACACAAAGATTGATAACATCACAAATTTATGGGTTCCAAGTATTTAACAAGGTTGTGAGTCATGACATATAGATTACATTACCGCACTTAGAGATACTAATCTTTTTCAGTTCTTGCGTAGGTGATAGGAAATTCAAAGTTAAAGAGATCGATTACATCCCAAAATTATGGGTTCCAAGTATTTAACAACGTTGTGAGACAAGACACAGATTACATTACCTCACTTAGAGATGCTAATCTTTTTTCAGTTCTGGTGTAGATGATGGTGAATTCAAAGTACAAGAGATTGATAACACCCCCAAAATTATGGGTTCCAAGAATTTAACAAGGTAGTGAGCCATGACAAAGTTTACATTACCGAACTCAGAATACTAATCCTTTTCAGTTCTTGGGTTGATGATAGTAAATTCAAATTCCAAGAGATTGATAACATCCCCAAAATTATAAATTCCAAGTATTTAACAAGATGTGAGTTATGACACAGATTGCATTACCACACTTATAGATTGCTAATCTTTTCAGTTCTTGGGCATGCGATAGTAGATTCAAACAAAACCAACGAATTGCACAAAGAAAGTAATCATTACATCAAAGATCATCAACACCAAAAACCAATTCAGTGCGATAGTCCAGAATGTATCAGAACACCAAAACCCAAAACCGAATTTCAGAGTTAACAATAGATCTTTGATCTATAATCTAAACAAAGATATCAATTCTTTAAAAAATAATTCAAAATAGGGTTTGTGAAGGTGGTATTACCTTGTCGTTGAAAGTATCAGGTGTTAGGGTTATTACTTCAGCTTTGATAGTCAATATCGAACTCAACAGAAGAAGAATCGATATGAGGATTAAATGACGACGATTTGGTCTCATCATTTTCTCTCTCATCGATAGATATACTATGAAATTGATCGATTTAGTCGGAGAGTAATAATACAGCTACGAATATATAAGCGACCGAAATAAGACGACGGCGGTGTGCGTCTGTTTTTATGCTTTTTATCATAAAAAATAAAAATAAAAAATAAAAAACTCGAAATTGTTCTTTTATGTTTCACTTAAATACTGTAATAAATACTACTATATATTTTTTATTATTAAATTATTAAGAAATAATAATAATCAAGTGGAGAGCATAGCAGCATAACTGCAGTTAAATTTTTTTTTTTAATCTATTGTGAAGGCAGTTGAGAAAATATTAAATTTCACAATCAAACACAACTCGAAATGAAGTTTTTAAAATAAAAACATAAGCAATGACATGTAGACTTAGAGTTCAAAGTTTTCCTAAGGTGGACGTGTGATTTTGTTTTAATCAATTTGAGTAGTTTTATTTATTTTATAATTAATTTTTAGATTTATATCTCATGTGCCGTAGAACATCAATTTTTTTTCCACTCTTCTCACTCTCAACCCTGATTTATTAGAGTTTTGAGAATCAAAATCCTAAACACTATAATAAACATAGAGCATCATACATTAAACTTTTAATAGAGAGACACTCTTAGCTCTCTAAATATAGAAGTCAAATCAATCACATTTTGATTGAGGTAACTTTACACTTAAAGTAACTAATTTGGCCAATGGCATGATGTTGACTAGGCTAATATATTATTTTTGGAAATAATTTTCATGTATATAGTAGGGATGATTACAGATCGGATCGGTTCTAAAGTTTAATCCGAATTGATCCTCACTGATTGGAGAAATTTGAAACCGAACTGATCCGTGAAATAACGGATTAGATCAGATCGGTTTGGGCGGATTGGGCTTTTCAAATAGTCCAATATAATTAGACTTTATGGCCCATTAAAATCTCAAATTAATAATTAAGAACTAGTAATTAAAACTAGAAAAATAAAATAGATTTGTAAATCATATACCAACAGTAATAGCAATAAAATTTGTAAATCATATACTAATTAACAGCAATAGATTTGTAAATTATATACTTAATAATAGGGAATATAAATTATCCAAATAGAATAATGAATAAAAAAAAATAGAAATACAATAAGTATATTCAATATTGTATATTGTATATATATAGTTATATATATATATATATATATATATATATATATATATTAATATATTATTTAAGTAACGGTTCAGATCGGTTCGGATTGGTTTTTTCAGGACTCAATCCGTTAACCAAATCACGAATAACGAATTGCTATTTTTTTAAATTATCACCTAACCATGAGATCCGAAAATCGAACCAAACCACACGAATCGGATTGACGGATTGGCGAATTATTTGCTCACCCTAGTATTTAGAATTTCACTTTATGTAAATTATTATTTAAACAAGATTTGTTGCTAAAAAAAAAAAAAATTATGAGAGGTCGGTCATGTGACGAGCTAATTACTCCATTCTTCAAATGAGTCTTTTACTCGTTATACATCAATGATAACAAATACTCATACGTGTAATTAGACACGAACACCTACCCCCATTTAGTATTAAGGTTGTATTACGTTTGCTTTAACCTTAGCCTGCTCTTAAGTATAATATATTAACCTTAAGATTGCTCATGATTTAAGGTGAGTGGGAGTTTTGTGCTTTGCTTATTAGGTTAAGAGTACTCTAAAATTGGAAAAAGTTTGGCTCGGTATTTACTTTACAGTCTTTACTTTATTGACAATTTAAAGCAAACGTTTTATACATAAAATGATTTATTTTACGGGCCCTAACCTTAAAAAAATTTAAGTAATAATACATATAAATTTTGATAAATTTTGAGTTAATATCTTATATTCCATCTAATTTAATAAATAAAAGGAATCATAATATCTTCTTTAAAAATGAATTCAAATATGGGTTAACCAATTTTAAAAGTACAAATGAATTCAAATATGGGTTAACCAATTTTATTTTAACCCACTTTAAAATGTTACGGAGTATTTTCTTTTCCTTTTTAGTTCGTTTGAATTCAAGTCTCAAACGTGACCAAAAAAAGCTCAAAAATTGGCATCATGACTTTTGAAAATGGTCTAAATAGCATAGCAATGGATAAAGAGAAAAAAAGACCTTATTAATTTACACACGTGGAGTCGTGGACTGAGGAGAAAAAAAGATTAAAACCATCTTAGTCACATCTCTCAAAATCTTAGCAAAGAACCACAATAAACAAAAACAGAACAAAACAAAACATAAACATAAACGCTCCTGAAATCGCTATTTCATCTCTACCCACCCATACCAAATAGCTAGTCCTAGTCCTTCAGTCAAAGTCCATAACCACCTCTGTTATCACCTTAGGCACCACCTTCTTCACCTTAATCTTCATCTCCGGCGGTGCCGCGGAGGCCGAGGGCAGAATGACGGCCTCATTCTGAGCATCGATGATCTCCCAAAGCTTCTCCCTGCTCACACCAAATGCAGCTGCGAACTCATCTCCTCTCATGGTCTGCAGAATCGAGTTCCGACCCACCAGGAACTGTGGCCGGTTCTTGCGTGCCGAGGTGGTGAAGCCGAAGAACTCGAAGGGACCGGTTCTAGACGCTATTTGGCAGAATGGGAAGTATCTTGGCACCCAAAACACATCACCTTCACTCACTTGTGCATTCATTGCAGAAGTTCCGTTAGGATACACTATCTGGATTGTACCACTTCCTCTCAGCACAATGCCATACTCTGTCGCTGTTGGGTTAACATGAGGTGCCATCATAGACCCCTATATAAAAAAACACAGTTAGAATGTGATATATATAAATATATATTTCGAAAGTTCAAGCAAGCACATAGACTAGCAATATTGTCCTTAATATTGTCCTTAGCAGGAGTTGAACACTCAATAATGAGCTAATGCACGCTCGAATGTGAGATGTATTGACATTATAAAGATTTTTCATTACAATTAATATTATCTCAAACACAGTCAAAATGAGGAACTAATTTACGAAAAATAACTTTTGTTTAGTACTTAACCATAACGATTCCATTTTGTACTCTTAAAATTCTTAGAAATTCTACACCCCCGTGATTCATGTTTTCAAAAACTGGCATTGAATTCTTTAAAAAAAAAAAAAATCAAAATTTCATAAAACGTACAGTCGATTTTTTTCTCTAATTTTTTTAGAAATTTTACACCATGATTCATGTTTTCAAAAAATAGTTTTCAGAAATTGTCTTAGAATTAAACTGAAAATTTTGTACAATTTTCAGATTTCCAATTGACTGTATGTTCCTTCTTGAAAATTATAACAACTATTATAAATTTATAAGATATATCCGTTACTTCAACATGAGCTTTATTTTCAAAGGAAGAAGAAGTGGCCGGTTACCGCAGTGAGATTGACTAAATAAACGCCAACACCGGAGTGGCGAAGTGGGGTGTAATCGGATTCGTCGAGGGCCATGCTCCAGCCATAGTTGTTCCTGAAGTCGGGACGTCTATTGTAGAGGTTGTAGGAGTCCGGTTCCTTCCCGCTGGTCGTTCTCTTCTCCTCCTTTCTCTTATTTTCTTCACCGAATACGGAGTTCAAGAACTTCCTGAATGACCATGTTGGTTGCTCCTCCTCAATGGCTTCTTCTTCTTCTTCTTCTTGAAAGTGCACCATTCTCTTTAGGTGAGCTACCCTTTCATGCTCCTTTAATTGCATGAATTGTGTCCAAACACTTGGTGAATGAGAGTCCGACAAGTGGACAATTGGGCCCGCTTCTTGCTTAGTCAACACCTCCCTTAATTCTGTTACTGAGACCTGCAATGGACCTTAATTGATTAATGTGTGTGTGTGATCCTTAGCACAAATTAATACTAATGCTATGTTTGGGAGTACCAATTAAAAATTAGAATTGAAGAATAATTAGTTTGAAGTTTCATCTAATTCTTTCTTCAATTCTAAGTATTCCCAAATGCAACATTAAGTTAAATATCTGACTCACGTTAAATGCAGTTGCTAGTGTTTCGGGGTCGAATCCAGCAAGAACAGATGTGGGATAAGTTCCTCCACCAATGAAGAAAGACTGCAGAGATGGAAAATGGGCAGTTTTTAATAAATTAATCTGTATAAATAAAACAATAAACATGAAAGGAATGAATAAAATCTTTTCTACACTTCTCAACAAACTAAAGTGCCAAAATTGGAATGTACAATCATTTACATTCTGTATTTAAATTAAGTATCTAATTGTGTAACACAGAGATTAATGTGGCACAATTGGAGTCTTTAATCATCTATATATTTTCTATTAACTTTAAAAAACCATATCATTGTGTATGTAACAAAAAAAATGGGTAATCGCATATACATATATACATACCTGTAAGGTATCCGACCGCAAGCTCTCGGATGTGTCGATGCTACATATGACATGTAGTCTCTGCCCCTCCTCTGTGTTAACCAAGTAGAACGCCGAGCCGGCCGGAATTCTATATATATCTCCCATCTTCAGTATCTTCTCCACAAAGTCATCTTTGTATATCATTCCAATCCTCGCTCCCCCTGTAACCAATCACATAACACATTATATATATATATATATATATATATATATATATATATATATATTGCTAATTGAGCAAAGTGAGAAGCAAAAGTATTCTGATAAAGACCGTTCCTCAGTAATATCATTGGACGTAATATGTACTCGAAATTAATATTGAATCACAGATAAATAAAAAAAAAGTCCATTAATCATATATAACATTAATTATATATTTGAATGTCTATATGTTGAATATTTATAGATATATATGTACCTCTGCGAATGAAGAGGATGAGAGTGGAATCAAGGTACTGAGGGATGAAAAGGCTTTGGGGTTCCATGGTGATGAAGCCAATGTGCATAGGAGTTTCCACAATAGATCTGGCGCCTCCAAACCCTCCTCTCACCACTCTCATGTCCCCTGCATCAGTCTTCACCACATGCTTTGAGTCCTGCAACAGAAACCACCCTTCTTCATGCTCTCTCTCTTCCCTCTCTCTTTCTCTCTCCTCTCTCTCTCTCCTCCCTCCTCCTCCTTCAGGATAGTCTTCACGGTAACCACTCACCAAGGCCACTACATGGCACATGATCGCTAGCACCAGCAGCAGCAACAAAGCTCTTCTCTCTCCCATCTCTCTCTCTCTCTCTCTCTCTAGCTTCTTGTTAATTTTGGTTCTGCAATTAGAACTAGAATCACGGTGAATTATGTGTTGAGAGAGGTCTGTTTATGTAGTGTGGAGGGAGAGTTTGTAGGGGACACGTGTCACTCATGCAGCTTTGATAGCTTTGGTGGCGTTTGGATACATAGACACCATTTTATAATCTGGTGAGGAATTTCCGATCACATTGAGACAAAGTCTTATATGGTGACTAGTAATTAAGCATAAAAGCAGTTGTATGCTTCGATACTTCCATTTCATGGTGTTGTTCCTATCACACTTCACATGATTCAAGAATTAATTTCAGTTTTATTTTTAATTGTTAAATAAATTTGAAAACTTAGATATAATCATCCACATAAACAAATTAGTAAAAAATAATAATCAAGCCAAACAAATTTGGAAAATAATGGCTCACTGATAAATTCAAACTTATTTTGCTGTAGAAAAAAAGAAGTTAAAATGTTAGAAATATTTTGCATTCACCTCTCTATATTTGGAAGCACAATGGTTTAAATTTGAAATTGAAATAAATTTAATTAAAATTTTGAACTAAATTTATTTCAATTCTAAATTTATGATTTATACTCCCAAACACAACAATTATTAGTCAAAATGCTAAAATATCTAAGTTTATTTTAGTTGTGAATTTTTTTTTTTTATTTTAAATTGATCTATATAATTAAATGGTGTTTGATAACTCAATTTAATACTGAATTTTGAATGAGTTAAATACTTATTTAATTAAGTGCGAATATTTTAAGTGAAAAGAACATTATACAAAAATTTAAAAAAATATAAAAAAAATTTAATTTTTAATTGCCATTTGATAAATTCATCACTTAAAATTCAAATTTTAAAATTTTCAATATCAATTAGTAACTTTGATGAACATATTATATAATATTATTATAGGATGTGACTTTTTATTTTTGATCAATTCGTGGTTAACCTCCGTTCCTTTGCTAGAAAGAGGGCTTTGGTTCGTGATTTTATTGTTCTATATTCATCATGTCTTTGTATAAGTAGAAGAAGTAATGTTGCTTTTCAGAGCATGCACGTTAAAAGTAGAATTGAAAAATATTCAGTTTAAATTATATATATATTTTCAATTTTTAATTCAATGCGTGTTCAAATACATAGCATAACTATTTTTATATGATTTAAAAATTGCATGTAACTTGTAAAACAATTACTCCTGAGCACCCTCTTTAAATTGGCATATTTTGAGAAAAAAAATAAAGAACATGCACAAACTAAATGGTCCAATAACTAATATTAAAATATCTCATGGTGAGAGAAAAACAATGTAGCACGGATACGATACAACACGAATATGTTGACACATTAAATTTTTAAAAAGTTAGATACGGATATGACGTAAATACGGTTACATATAAATATAAATATTTATTTTTATATATCTATTCAGTAATAGTATTATAAAAATTTAATTAATTTATAATTTATATATTAAGAGTTGCTATGAAATGAATTAGAAAATGAAATTATATCGTAATGATTTTTATATCATATATATTATTATTTTACTACTTTGTTACAATAGTATTCATATTAATTTCAAAATTACTAATAGACTTGTGTTAGAAATGTTCAAGAAGTGTCAATTAAGTATACGAAATAATAAAATTAATTTTTATTTATGGATATGTATAAAGTGTCAAATACGTATACGACGAGTATTCAAGGAGTGTCGATATCTGACACAGGTACGTATAATTCCTTCATAGAAATATCCGTGCTTCTTAGGTATGATCCAATATAAATAAATTCTGATACGAAATTTTAACTATATAATCTTTATATAATTTTCTTTCAAAATGTGAATTATAATATAGAATCCATAGCAAATGATGAATTATTGTCAAGAATATTGGAGGATTTTCATTAATTGGGATATTACGCAGCAAGTACCGATGCATTATTTTATTTTATTTTATTAAAACATAAAAAATAAAAATAAAAATAAAAATTACATTAATATGTGTTATTAGTTTTTCATTGTTCTATTAAAGGTATAAGAAATTGTACAGTACTCTCTAGTTATTGAAACACATGGTACCTCTTTATCTTTTGAAAGGAATTGGAGAGAGTTAATGGCTATAAAACAATGACAGGTGTATGAGTTTTTTACTAATAAAAAAATAAGATTAATTTGTTCTGTTTTCGACTCACACCTTAAAAGTTATTTTTCAATTGTGCCAGATCACTTTTTGCATATAAAAATGCATTGTTACCCCCCTTTGACTTTATGTTACCTTATGAAAAGATTATTTTATGTATAAAATAATTTAACTATCCATAAGACCTATAAAACAATGACAGGTGTATGAGTTTTTTACTAATAAAAAAATAAGATTAATTTGTTCTGTTTTCGACTCACACCTTAAAAGTTATTTTTCAATTGTGCCAGATCACTTTTTGCATATAAAAATGCATTGTTACCCCCCTTTGACTTTATGTTACCTTATAAAAAGATTATTTTATGTATAAAATAATTTAACTATCCATAAGACTTATGTTAAGTGACCAAAATACCCATTACTCAAGCAAAACAACCCACCCTTCTCTTCTCCCTACTCTCTCCTCCACCTATCACTAACTCCATTGTTCTGTCAGTCATTGATGAAACTAGACTTCAGAAAGAAAAAGAAAAAAAAAGAAAGAAAGAAAGTTTAATTTGATTTTCATCCTTTTCCACAACATGTTGATGTGGTTCCTTGCAAGAGCAAATCCCTCAGTAGCCCGTAAGGGAATAAATGAAAATTGGTTTTATAAATTAGGATGGAGTTTGGAGATTAAAAATGAAAATGAGTATATTTATATAACTATTTACAAATTGGTCTATACGATAGTAATTTGAATGGTCCTCTGCTTACAATTTAATTTTTAATTTGATTTTTTTCCATCCTTATTTCGGATTTACATCTACAATGCAAAATCCAAAACCCCTCTTTATCTTTTCAGGATATGCACAATACAGTAAGGTGCTGTTTGATAAAATTGAAAATTAAGCACTGAAAATTTCAAGTACTGAATATTAAGCGCTGAATATATTAATTTGAAAACCTGTTTGATAACGTTTTAATTTTAAGCGCTGAATTCATTAAGATTGTTTGTTATATACAAAAGGTGAAGTCTGAAAGTTGTACATATTACATTTTTGCCTTTAATATCTGATACTCATAACAGTTTTATATTTATAATACAAAAATATTAATAAAATAACCACATTCACTCAATGAATTATATCAATTTAACAATGAATATTAATGTCAAATATAATCATAAAAAAATATAAATTCAAGATTGGAAAACGAGCCTTTAATACTCTAAATATTCGTTCAATCACATTCCTTAGCTTGGCATGTGCATGGTTAAATAGCTTTTCTTTTGTTCTAGGACAACCACCATTTCGAAAGTTGGCTAACCAAATATCGTATATTACGATAAGGTACCATAAATCTTCAGGTGTGTGTGTGCAGCATCACACAAATAACATTTATCTCCAATATAATATGTTTAAAATGGTTAATAAAGTATATGATAACTAAATATTTTTTTTCCTGTATGATAAATAAATATTCAAAAATATTATTACTAAAGAAAGTAATTTTGTTATATTTGAAACACAATTCTTCTCTGAGAATAAAATTCTATTATATAAATAATTACATAATATTTATGTAGGGTATAAAAATGGTATTAACAATATTAAACAAAATATGTGAAATTGAATAGAATTTTGTTATATAAATAATTATTTTCTATATATTGTGAATCAATATGAATATGAATGGTAATAGTTTAAAATATAAATAATTACATAATATTTATGTAGGGTATAAAAATGGTGTTAACAATATTAAAGAAAGTACGTAAAATTGAATAAAATTCTTATATAAATAATTATTTTCTATATAAAGTGAATCAATATGAATGGTAATAGTTTAAAATATATTAGGTAGAATTATGTTTTTTATTTTTTTGGAATTTGTTCATGTAATTCATTTTCATGAGCAACAACAAGCAACTAAATATATATGATTATATGAGGGTAGAGTAGTCATTAGAAATTTATTTTTTAAATCCAACCCCTTACCGTGTTCTGCGATAAGCTATAAGCAACCTTTCCAATGCTTAAAATTTTGGCCTCTTTTAAGCGGTACTTACCATGTTAAGCGGTGTCTTAAAATTTTATCAAACATACTTATTTTTAAAAATCACTTACCGTGTTCTGCATTCAACGCTTAATTGGGAAATCAAACAGGCCCTAACTCTAGTAAGTTGTTTTACACGTCTCTTATTTTGCTTTTGGTGTAAAATTATTAATTTACCATCTTCCTTGAAACATTACATTTCACATCTCATGCATTTAACAAAATCATAGTTATTTTTTGATAATTAAGTTAAAATAAATAATTGTCAAAAATTGTAATCTTTATTACTTTGTGCTTTTTGTAGTGGCCGCTAGAATTGGAACTCGTGTTAATTGGGGTGTTATTCAAATTCTAATGGAAAGTAAATCTTTTGAAAATTTTGATTTTTTTTCCTTGGTGATGCTAACACATCTTTTCTCGGTACCGAATCATTTGATGTACTTCCATGCCTTACTGCAAGATTGGTTCAGTAACACATAAATTAACTCACTAAAAGCCTCACATTTATTATTATGCAATTTTATCATCATTTTTCTAAATATCTAGATTCCTAAAATGTCATAAATATAGAGTGAGTGCATTCTGGATGATTAATAATCTAATTATATGACGAGAAAATTAATTTATTGTGAATACCAAATGATGATAATAGATAAACAATCAAGTGAGCCCTATGGATGATGGTGGAGAGCATGAGCTTGTTTACCGAGGATCTCAAATCCCTATTTAACCATCGTGTTGTTGCCCATTCAATAAACACAAACCAAGATGAAGGGGGTGCATGAAATCGAC